TTTTTTTTTTTTTTTTTTTTTTTAAATACGCAACACGAGGGCAGGCGGCCAACGCTACGGGCTTTGGGAGGAAGAGGAAGATTCGCGATCACATGACCGGCATTCGGAGCCTTATTCGGCCGGTGGAGCAAACTGTATCTGAAAACCCAAAAGAGAGAAGCTTGGATGGACCAAATTGCACAGTGGCTTTTTCGTGCTTGAAATATGAGTAACGAAAAGAATCGGCCAGAGTTGCCTCGTGGGCATTTAGAGAAAGGAACGGACCATAGCCGCCGAGGGCAAGCGATCTAATCCCGGCGCAGGTAACTGATGTGATATTAACAGAATCTGTGATTAGAGGCAATAGATGACAATCTGAAAAGTAAGTGAGAAAGGTGCATGTGGCCATGCACCTTTCTCACTTACTTTTCAGAGGCCATGTGGAAAGAGGAGATGGCGGTGGTAAAAAAGGGGGATATGCGAAAGTGGCAACGTAAAAAAGTGGCAAGCTCGTTATTTTTTCAGCCGCAATATCTTTTCAGGCACCCAAGGCACGCGCACATGAAAACCCGGCACATCTTTTCGGATATGGAGTAAAGTGACCAGAAATAACGTCAGGAAAATTTTGGAGGTGACTTGTGAAGCATCATATGTACAGATATGATTCCTTTGACTTTTTTGCTCGTTTAGTGGGGTCTGCAATTTGGGGGCGACAAACTCCTCATTCAAAGCTGCAATCTTACCCATATCGTATTATAACATATATGTAATCAATTTATCTGTATTGAACCATTAAAACCTGTAAAAACATTTAAAAAATTGTAATTACACATCACATTCCATAAACTACAAATGATCTTGATCCGATTTGTACAGTACAGTACATACCGGTAATCACATTTCAGTAACCTTCGCTGATTTACATAACATAACCAGGAATTCCCGAAATTTATGAAGACCGAAACGAAAATACATTTGTTAATTAATCGTATGGTTATATTTTCCAAAAAATCGCACAATTAAATAACACCATTGAAAATAAAATTATAGAAAAATGAAAATAATTAAATTAAAAAATATTAAATACAATATAAAAATAATATATATATGTTGTGCAGATATAAAAATATACAGTATTAAAAAATATATAATACAATATAATTAACATGAAATACTAAAAAAAATAAATAACATTGCATTAGAATTCTACCCAAAAACAAGCTGTTATAAATAACACCAATGCCATAAAACTTTTTATACATTTAAAATATTTTAAAAATATATTTAACTTAAAATTTGGCATCTTTTTAAATGTCTGTATAAAGTAATTTTTAAAGTACTGATAGAAAGATACGAGTATTATAAAATTATTTATTGTGACATCGTCACAATGCCGGGCTTCAATTTTTAATCATATTTTTAATTTATTTAATTTAAAATATATGCTCTCCTCCTCAAATTAGTAGTGGCTTTTCCCTGTACATCATACTTTTCCTTTAACAATAGAGTAGTGCCGGTCATCCATTAACTGCTTTCAGGGGAAGTTTTCGAATGAAAATAACGCGACTTTCAGTTTGTATCAGAATAATTATATAGTTAATTGGGGCCTTCTATCCCTATGATTTCCATATCTGTCTTGAATTTCATTTATCTCACTCCGCTCTTGGGATTAAGGATAGACAGACGGACGGACGACAGTGGGAATTTATAGGTCTTAGAATTATATAATTTATAGCCAATAAATTTTCTATAGCCTTTCTAGTGCACGCATGTTTTAAACATATGTATACTACACATGTTACTAGATACTAAATGAGTATGCTATATGGCTTAAAATTCTTCAAATACTTAATATTTTGTTTTAAATTTCATTTACTTTCATTTATTTTGTTATAAAATGTTTCCTCATAATGAGCGAAGACCGCCACACAGTGAGTGTACCACAGAGACCGCAACCAAACTGACAACAAATACTAAAATACTATATATTTTAGTATTTTAGGCCTGTGTTTATATTTCAAAAATCTGCCAGCTGTTGAAACTGAACCTAGAATGAATGGTGATTCTCGGATTATGGGAGTCTGATATTTATAGGTTTATTATGCAATATCAGACCCACATTTAGGCCCTGTACACACTAGGCGTTTTTCAACGCGCGTTTAACGCCGAGCTAACGCGCGTTAGCTCGGCGTTCGACGAGCGTTAGTTCGGCGTTTAGCACTGGCTCAGTTTGGAAATGGACGAGAAAGTAATTGATTGTGTGTGCTCCTCCATCGTCGCTATAAGGCAGCACATATATCTCAAAGCGCCCGTAAAGTGCCCGCAAAACGCGCGTTTTAACAAAAATCTATAAACGCGCGTTAAACGCGCGCTTGGCGTTTGAGTGTGTACGGCTACATAGAACTCTTGGTTCTTTAAAACGCGCGTTGAAAAACGCCTAGTGTGTACAGG